GGTAAGTATTTATGTATGGGTAGGCAGTTGGGACACAATGGTAAGTATTTATGTATGGGTAGGCAGTTGGGACACAATGGTAAGTATTTATGTATCTAAACATAGGAAAGATACAGTAAACATCCAATATTATAATTTTATGAGATCACTATGGTGTATATGGTCCATTGTTGACTAAAACATTGTTACACAGCACATAACTATGTATAGTCAACAAAACACTGCACTTTCTTGTTTCAATTTGTGTTATGTGTTATTTGCTTTACACATTTGATAGGGAATACAGGAATTTGTGACCTTTCGTTTTAGTGGAAAGCAGTGAGCCAGCTTATATTTAGACAATAACTGACTGGCCAGCACTATTGAGTTATTTTGTGTGTGGTGAAAAATATTTAATGTATCAGCTTCTTAGCCTCACACACAGCCCTTTAGTTCCAAATCCTTGGTTAGGTTAGAAAGTGGAATGAACAAAATTTGATACTGAAGCAGATGGTGGGAAGGACCTAAGGAAGTCTATATCCTTCTTAGACTATTTCATTTCCACTTCTAGTTGAGCTGTAAATTTCCTGGGCTTGTATGTGTGTGTTCACAGACCCATGTTGTATCAGAGTTTTATCTGGCAACCAAGATCTCTTCCTAAACTTTCAAGAAAGATACCTTATTAGCCCAATATTTATTTAGGAAGTTTTAGAATACATACACATTAGTGTTTTCAACTACTTGGTGAACATTTCACTGATGCATGATGAAAGCAGATGTAAATGACCCAACAGTAGAAATTCTGTATTTGCTTCCATAAAGAAAAATAAAACATAGATCTGTTGATAAAATATGTATGCAGTATATTGCATAGGAAATTAAAGGGTGAGATCCAATTCATTCGCTGGCAGGAAAGATACAACTTAAAAATGGAATGACTTGGGTCCCTTTAATAAAGAAAGATGCTATTCTCTGCTGTGTCTTTGGAATTAAAATAGGGGAACAAATAGCAGTCAATTCAGAAATGGCTGCTAGTCACACGGATGCAATTTTATCTGAGAAATTCGGGACCCAAACTATTTTGATGCAAGATACACAGGAGAGCTGCAGAAAAGACTGTATCCTTGTCTTGTATCCAGGGTCCCAGAAGCACCTTGTTAATGTTCACACCCCTGAGTTCTACTCCTCCAATCCTGCCTAAATGAGTAAACTTTGAAGGTTTTAAATGGAGTTACCTAATTTTAAATTAGATTTCATTTTTCCATTGTCTTTGTTAATTAATACTTGTAGATGTCATCATTTTTTTCAACTACTTGCAACCTTGGTAACTGAAAACTTCACTAAAGGAAGAGAAGAGTTTCAAAATCCTTGAAATCAAAAGTAGTATCTGGTTGGGAATTATTTTTGTTCTGTTCCTGGAAGTCTTCCTGGCTCACCTCCCTCTCTCCTGTTCCCACTTCATTTCCTCACTTGACATTCCCCTATTTTGACCACACCAATAAGTGGATTATATAAGGTACAGCTGAACGATCATGTTAACTTTTATTTGCCTTCCTTGTTGCTGTAAATAGTTTCTTCTTAAGTTTCAGCCCAGCCTGTGACAATCTTACCAAATAAGAATGAAATGATACACCTTCCATGTTTCCTATGGACTATAAGAAAGGATGAAGGAAGGTTGGCAGGACCCCAGCCTTACTGGGTGGAGACATGACCCAGAGGCAGCTCTTCAGCTTTACCGTACACAGGTCCAGAGTGCCCTAAAATGCAAGGGCAAGTTTTTGTGTGAAGGGACTCCAAACAGCTGGTAAACATGCCTACATATTAACCACTCGTGGCTTGTTTCAGTATTCCTATAACTTAAAATTCTGTAAATTTTTTCTGAGCTATTTCCCAGCAGTCTCCTAGTATGTGTGACCCAGTTTTAGGTTTATAGTAACAATGTTTTTGAAATCAAGTCAATGATACCTGTGTTGCATTGTTATAGAACAATACGTACATGTTAAAGAAATCAGTTTGATTTCCTTTTGTCAAGGAATTGCAGAAATGGTTTTGGGGGGGTGTTTTTGCAGTTGGCTGGGGCTGGGTTTGAACCTGCCACCTCCAGCTTATGGGGCCAGCGCCCTACTCCTTTGAGCCACAGGCGCTGCCCCAGAAATGGTTTTTACCTATGTCAGGATAGGTTAGACATGAGGGCCGAGGGGAGACAGTGCAGCCTTTTCACTCTGAAACAGAAAATCATTTGCCTTCCCTGAGTCTATCAGAGATAACTTTTGAGGAGTGTGAATGGAGTATGTGTGTGTTTGGGTCTGTGTGTGCACTCATGCATTCTCATGCTTTCTTCTGTGGTGTTATTTCAAGCCCTCCTAATAAAGGCATCCAAAGAATACTGAGACTTGACCATAGGTATTTGGCATGAATAAATTAGGTTCTCTTTGCCAAAAACCCTCAAACTTAGAACTCAGTTGTTTTCAATAAGGTGGGGAAAATTGCCCATTGCTTTTGCCTCATTCCCAAGAAAACATCTCATCTACAAGGATGAAAGTCAGTAGGGCTCGTCCTAAGGACTCATGTGTGGCATTGGAAGGGCAGTAGTGACCAGAACACCACAGGCCTGCAAGATGTTATTTTGACTGAGGGAACATTTGACATCATTTACGAGGGAATAGAAACCAAATAAAGGCCAAGGACCATGACCATTCCATGGAAAAAGTGGATTCCCTTTGCTAACTACTTGGAATTGACTGAATGAGGAGGTCTACCCAGCCATAAGGAGTATTGAGGTCATCAGGCCTCAGAAAACAGTAGCATGCACACAGTTACAAAGGATATGAACAAGATAAAGGAGGGGAAAAACAAAGTCAATCTCAACAGTTTTTGCAATACCTCTTATTTGCAGACCATTGGATTTATGTTATTGCACTCTTGGTGTGATTTATCTTATGTATCTTGATAGTTTTTATGAATTGTTTGAGTTTCAAACTCTTATTATACCCTTTATTAAAATGGACCTAATTAAGCTATTCATGCTTTGTGTTATTTCTTAACTCAGATCTTCCTAGCATAGAAACAATCCATAGATATCTTTCACTTAAGAACCTTAATTTTGGGTGGTGCCTGCAGCTCAGTGAGTAGGGTGCCAGCCCAATATACCAAAGGTGGCGGGTTCGAACCTGGCCCCAGCCAAACTGCAACAACAACAACAAAAGCCAGGCATTGTGGGAGGCACCTCCAGCAACTTGGGAGGCTGAGGCAAGAGAATCATCTAAACCCAAGAGCTAGAGGTTGCCATGAGCTATGACGCCACAGCCACAGCACTCTACTGAGGGCAACAAAGTGAGATTCTGTCTCAAAAAAATATTTGTATTTTTAATATTCCTAGTCTAATATTTTTAATATTAACATAAAGAGGGAAATTCTAGGAAAAAAATGAACCTGAAAACTTAAAAGATCGTTACTGTGTGGCAAGGCATGGTGACTCTCATGTGTAATCCTAGCACTGTGGGAGGCTGAGGCAGGAGGATTGCTTGAACTCAGGAGTTCATGACCAGTCTGAGCAAGAGTGAGACACTGTCTCTACTAAAAATGGAAAAAATCAGCTGGGTGTGGTGATGCACACTTGTAGTCCCAGCTAGCTGAGGCAGGAGAATCACTTAAATCCCAAGAGTCTGAGGTTACTACAAGCTAGGTTGACACCACAGCACTCTTGC